TTTGTTACTACCCATCTTTGGGTGCCATGCATCTCCCGTTGCATTCTCCATAATATGAATGAAGTACCGTCTGAGGAGAGGGAGGCAGCCTCTAAAGACCATGGTAGTTATAAAGACCTGGTAAACTAAAGTAAGCCCCCCCTGTCATGACAGGGATGTCATTTCTGGCACTGACCCAGAAGTAGGCAGTTTAGGAAGGTCTACAGTCCAAATACTTCTACCAGGTCAGGGACACAAAAGGGTCAGCATGAAAGCCAGGCAACTAGCATTTTTATAAGGGGAGGTCACTAATGGCAGACTCCATGTTTATTTTATGGAAGTTTGTAAACGTAGATTGATTCATATCCGCCTGATATTTCTTTGTTTTAAAATGAGCTTTACGAATGTCGTCATTCAAGTTTCAGTGGCCTTTATTTCAAACATGAATGCTAAATACATACAGTATATGGGGGCTGCTTCACCTGCCAAAGGATTTGCATTTCTGGTCAGCCAGTTTTGAGATTTACACAGCTGTCACACAGAGCAACCCAGGCTGAAGACGCGATTTTTCTCTGCTGCACTTCAGTAAAACTTACAGGTTTCTTCCCCACCCTCTCGTGACTGGACATTAGAAGGAGAAGCATCAGACTTTGTCAATCTGTTCTCTTCTCCGATCGGCATGTTTCTTGCACTACAGCACAACCGGTTGGCTCCTTGTGCTGCTTCTCCCTCCTCCAGTCTGAGCTGTGCTTTACAGGAATTGCAAAAGGCTGTTTCCAAATGAAATTCAGGTACTTACACTGGATGCATAGGAAAAAATTATACATGTAATAATTTATGAATAATTACATGAATTTGTCTTTTACAGATGCCCGGAGTACAGCTTTAACAGTGTACTGCATTACCGTGTAGGTCGGGGACACTAGTAGCAGGCAATGAAAAGCACAGAACTGCTGTTAGAAGCAGTCATTTGGGTTATTAGTACAGTGATAACTGAATTAATACACATTTTGGATACTAACCTCTGTGCCCCTTAGCTCAAGAATAAGTGTAACCCCTCCCCCCCCCTCGAAAAAAAAAATAAGATGGCTGTGAAAGTCACCAGCTTTGGCTGGAGAAAGAACTACATTTATAGTTGAAATGCTTGTATAAAGTCATAGGGGATGGATGCAGATGTAGGAGGTGGGCCATAGTCCCCGCCCCCCACCCCCCTGGTTTCCACACTGTGTGGGCCCAGAAGTATGGGAATTTGTCTTTTTGATCCCTAACCTGGGCACCTGTGGGGGGAGGGTTCATTAAAATGACTAGGGATGCACATATATCTATAGCATGGAGCCAGCTTCCCAGGCAATCAGGAATCCGGACAGCATTTCATTACCCACTGCACGGCTTCCCTATTGGCCGGAATTGCAACATCCCATCCAATCAGCATGGAGCCGGCTTTGTGGACAATCAGGAAGCCAAACTGAGACTCATTACCCGTGGCCTGGCTTCCTGATTGGCCGGGAAGCCGGTCCATGTTCCCTCGTGGTACTGCCGGTCAGAGAAAATCTCCCTCTGACTGGAAGTTCTGGTATCGGAGCATTTGGACGAGTACCCGCCCAAATACTCGGTATCGGTGCATCCCTAAAAATGACACATCATTATTACATCCCTTAATTGCAAAGAACTGGCTGAACGTGATGAGTAAATGTCTTTTTTCCAACCTCATTAACATTATCAGGACTTTGAATAGGCTGCCTTGTTAATTCGGCAGAGTGAAGAACAAACTATAATAAGCAAACTGCTGTAACTAACAGTAGCCAATCAGATTTTGGTTTATTGCAGTCAGCTCTGTGATAGACGAAGGGTTCATGGCAATGGGCTTTGTTTATTCTGCGTTTGCAATGCACCTCAAGCACAGATCAGCCAAATCCCACAGACCTTAATGGAGTAGTACACATGGCAGTTCAGAGATTGCATTTGACCTGCTTTGCATTGCACGGTTTCTTTGATGCAGCGTTTCCTATTGAGCTGCATTTGTACTGTAGACAAAGCAGGTTAAGCAGCCTTTTCTTATTAAACGTTGCATTTTCCATTTGAATGCAGCTGCATGTCTTATATAGAGAACACAATGGTTGACTAGAACACCCATGCATATGAACCCCAACTCCGTTTGGTTGCCATTTCTCACTGCTTTATGTCCTTTTTGTCTTACTATATTAACAGAGTTTCTTCCTTTTACCACCTTCCACTGTTGCCTGTTCAAAGTGGCACTGAATAACTAGATCTGATCATTTCGAAACGTCTGGGCAGATGGCCTGATTTTCAAAAATGTGCCGTCAACTAAAACAGACCTGTTGTATGCTGCCCAGACTGAACTAACAGATGCCATGGAAAAAGCAATCTGCAAGAACAGAGCTTTAGAATACTGTATATTTTTGTTTCCTTAAATGTTTAATATAAATCCTGAGGTTTCTACATTTATATCCACCACCTACATAGTTTTTACACCGACACTTCATGCAAGGATAAACGGTGACCATAGGTATGAACGTTTCATCCAAACTTGTATCTCCTGAGTGCACACATATATGGACTCTGCAAATTGGTTGAGCACAAGCCTTATTTTGGGGGAAAACAGCCATTAGCTGTGAAAATCCACTTGGTTGACACTGGTCTCCATCCAGGGCTGGGTTTACCCTCGTTGCTGCCCCAAGGCCAGGTTCCTCAATGTGCCCCCCTACCCGCGACATCGCTGAGATCACTTGTACAAAATAAGCAGCGGCTTCTCCGCTCTACATTTAGCTCTGCTTGCCCAAAGCAGGGCTAAATGTAGAAAACAACCACTCGCCCTGAGCCCGGAACTGCATGTCGTGGGCATCAGGAGATAGGAGTTCCACACCTCTTTCTGCCCCCTCTACTCCCTGCTGCCCCGAGGCCGGGCCTTAGTTGGCCGTGTGGGAAATCCGGCCCTGTCTCCGTCTGTATTTGAAGAATAATGCACAAAACAATGCATTCAAATGGAACATGGTTTCACATACTGTATGGACAGCATTGCAGCATGGGGTGTCTGTTTGGCTAAGATAGCTATAGTCAATGCTTAGTGATTATACAAGCTGAAATAAATGATCATCTTATATGTACAGCGGCTATCAGTATATAAGTGCCACTGATTCTAATTGAACTCTGTAAAATCTTATCACAGCTCCTTGGTTGAGTCAAGTGATACCCAGTGTTAAAGATCATCGGACTTCAACCAGATTTTTTTAATTCCATTCTTTTCAAGTAACATAATGAAGCAATATCACAGGTTGAGGCTCATGCACACTACATACCAAAACGTTGAGTTCAGGTGCATTTGGATCTAATTTCTAGATGCACCTGGACTCGTGTAATGCTGTTCTATGACTGAATGCACCCCTAGGCGTCCAGCAGCATCTAGGTGCCTTCAGTCTAGGTCAGTTTACCCAAAAAATAAATGTTTGCATTCCAGGTCCTACTATCCCAGTTAAATGCGGCTAAACACGTGTAAACGCAACTAAGCCCAACACAGTAAAAAGTGATCTGGAAAGCATAACGTTGTTTATACTTGCCAGATAACCATTATTGTATTTTAGGGATTTCTTTTTAGTAATAGTTATTTACCTAGTGGCCCAATTCATCCATATAATAATACTATCATGCTCATTTGAAATATCACACATACGCTGGACTGCACCAGGTAATACCAGTCATCTCTGCTGACAAAAATGTATCACAGTGACGATTAAAAAAAAAAAAAGACAGCCGTGAGCAGGAAAATCGCTTGTTATATGTAACAAAATGTTAGACAGTTGCCTTAGCTCTGCATTGTAATCTTCCCTGGAATGATCTTTCAGTTAACCACTATGTCAGAAATAGCAATGTACTATTCTTCAACCTCTGACAATTCAGGACTGCCCACACTGCTCCCGCCCTCCGCTCTACTGGCCCATCAGAGTGTCATACTTTGTCAGCAATTGTCAATTTAACAAATTGGAAAAAATAGGGGGGAAAAAAATAATTTAATCCTTGCAGTGGAGTCACCTATGAACTGCAAGGGTTAACTGCTCGTTTTAGTCTAGGTAATAAAAAAAAAAAAAAAAAAAAATATACACCCAATCCTCCGAGGTGGCTTATTCTTAGACTAGACTAAGGACCCATAAATCATGTTTTAGACCCCATTCACACAACAAATTTTTTTTTAGCTCTTCCAATGCATTTCAGTGGAGATGTTCACATCTTGCAGCTCAATGTCGCCTGTAGCTTGTTGCTGGAACATGAGCTATTTTTTGGCGGATTTCGAGCGATTTGGCCCCAATTGTCTTTGATAGACTGCCAAAAGCAGCGCTACGTAGTGCAACAAGTTTGTGCACTGTAGCTCAATGGTGATCAGCTCAAATCAGCGCTGAAAAAACTTGTAGCTCAGTGTGAATGGGGTCTTACACACTGTGTATAGACGGGAGGATTCTGAGGAAGATTCCAATGCTGCTGAGGAGGAGAGAGGCTGGAGGGAACATTGTGACAGCTGGCCGGCTCGGAGCTTCGGGTGAGAATATCTTTGTTATTTTGGAAACTTAGACAAAACAAGCACTTTACCCTTTCAGTGTGGGGGTAGCCTCACTGCAAGGGTTAAGAAAATGTTCCTGGAGTTCTTCTTTAAAAAGGTAATAACATCAATATGCTGCGTGTTTTTGTAACAGGTGAACAAAATAAAAAAAGTTCACAATTTGACATATGGAATATTCTACATTCATCAATTCATATTTATTTCCAGGAAAATATATTGATAGATATGCCATTCTGGAAACCATATTACATTAGATCAGGTAAAAGACCTACGTGCAGCAAAACGTGATTAGAAATAAGATCGCATGTGTTCTTGAGAGAGAGAAGATATGTTTTATACCAACAGCATACCTGAGCAAACTTTTCTGAAATTCGTATACATTTAAACCTACTATTCCTTATGCAAGAATACAATGCTCAGAAACACAAAGAGATTTTCATTTCACCAGAGATTATGGTGAAAACGAGAGAAGGGATTATTTATTAATTACATACAAACGACAGACACATCATGTAAGTGCAAAAGATGCTCCTTGCCTTTGGCAAAACACACTGGCAGAAATGAGGTCTACAAATGAAGTGTATACATTGTCTGACTCAGGTTTTCTACTAAGCTAAATGCTTTGAAGCAAAATCCATGGACATGATGCTAAGCAAAGTACATTTCTCTGGTCCAGCTTTCACACAATTATTATTTAAGTCAATCCACGGGATGTACAGAAAAACAAAAGCTGTGCAATGGTCCCTAGTTATTTCATATTAGAATTGTGAATTGAATAAATTAATTCCTGCACACATTTTAAATAAAAGCAAAAAGAAAGAACAAAGACTGGTAGAAGAGTTTATTAGCTTGCCATGCAATATATTGAAGAATGAAGGTGCTCTTCCATGAACCCACTGGAAAGAGTGTTCACATCCTACCAAGTAGGCATCATGTCTGGGAACCAGACTCTGCCAAGATGCTTGGATACTTCCCAATGAATTTGCTCCGGATTATACTTCTGGTCAGGGATTAATACTTCCTCCATGATGGAAAGTTGGGACAAACGGCCACCACACATCTTTACAAACTCTACAAAAGCAGAGCAAGAGACTTCACACTCCCCAAGTCCAATGGCCGTCAGGCTTTTGCACCGCTCTGCAATGCGGATCAGTTCTTCATCAAGTGGACGAAGTCCATTGGCACACACAACAAGCTCCACTAACCGAGGACATGTCATGCCAATGCGGCCAAGCACTTCCTTGCTTACTGATCTTCCAAAGTACAGATGTGTAACTGGTGTCTCGTAACGGAAAAAGGGATCAAACTCTTCTTCATAAAGGAAAAAGTACATGACTAAGTTCACCTTAGGAGAGTGCTTTATTAAAGCATCCCAGCTGCTTTTCTGAATGGTATGAAAGTGGGTTTGTCCTGGGTTTTCGCTGACTACATCAATGCGCAGATGCTCCAGACGAACATGCTTTTCTGAAGACAGTGCCAAGAGGAGCTCGTCACTCAGCAAATAATAGTTCAATGCCAACTCCCGCAATCCATGACACTGGTCAGCTACGCACAAGATTCCTGTAATCAGATTTACAGTATTTTAGCTGACTTGCTTAGGTTAAGTAATACAACACAATATAGTAGAAGTTACATAAGTCCCCGAGTTACATATATCCGATTTACATACGACTCCTACTTACAAACGGAGGCTATTACTGTACAGCAGGGGTAGTTGTAATGCTACCGCACTGGTACAGATGAGGGGTGCCCCCCTTTTTATGGTCTGGTTCGTAGTACTGTGCGTACATTACAGGAAGTTGGCTCTTGTTAGACATGCAGAAAAGGGGTGCCCACTTCTTCTTCAGGGTCACTGTGAGGTTTTTACTGCTGTCTGTATCCTCATTAGAAAGATTTAATCTCACTTCCTGTCTGAACAACAGGAAAGGAGAGGAAATTAACCCCTAGGAAGGGAAATTCACTCCTGTAAGAGTTATCATGGGAAAAAGGTGTCTCCACTGAAGCTTTATCACCAATCTTTGTTTCCACGACAACCCAAAATTTTCAAAATCCAATTGTCACAGGGATAGAAAATTAGGTGAAATCTTCTGAACAGGGCACACACAGCAAAACAAACTTTACACGGGGTAAATCCTTCCCTATGCTATCCAAACCCCCCCCCCAAATGTACCTGTTCCAACTTACATACAAATTCAACTTAAGAACAAACCTATAGTCCCTATCTTGTTCGTAACCCGGGGACTGCCTGTATGTTAATAGAATCACATGCTAAGTGTATCTTACTGTGTAATATACTGGGTACCTGCCATGGTTCTTCTCACTAAAATATAATGGAAACCGTTCTATAAAGCAAACTTTTCCCCCTGTGCACATATACAGGAACTAATGTCCTTTTCAAATAATTTATGAACAGAAATCAAATCATGTAAACAAGCCATGTTTTTATACATTTATACTAATTCTAAAACTAGTTCATTAAAGCAGGACTGCAAGGGTTAATTGCTCGTTTGTGTCAAAGTACTAAAAGAAAAAAGTTATAGTCCAAGCCAGCTGGCTCTAAGACCGGTCCCTTCCGCCTCACTCCCCCTCCACACTAGCAGTCTAAGAATCCTCTATAGACTGTATAGAATCTGAGGATGCTGAGAGAAATACCATCACTGCAGCAGAGGAGGACACAGGCTGAAGGGAACACAGTCACAGCCGGCCAGCTACGAGGATCGGGTGAGTATAACTTTTTTTACCTAAACATGGATGAGCACTTAACACTTGCAGAGCGAGGGTAGCCCCACTGCAATGGTTAACAACCCCCCCCCCCCCGAGTTCTTCTTTAAAAACCTTTTTGGTGTCCTGTGAAAACTCTTTACTGGAGTAAGAAAAAGGAAAGGTTTAACCAAGTTTGGGATATCATTAAAAAAAAAGCGCATGTCAGTTTAGAAATCCATTGGGCACTCAGTTGTAAATGCATTTTGAAAAAAAAAAATTGTAATAAAGTTAAGAAAAATGTTGTAAATAGTTTGTTAGTATAAAAAAAAAAAAAAGGTAACACA